TAATTATATCACCTAAAAGGGTGTCTTCGTGACTGATAACCGATGTAGTATGCACTATGCTCCAAAATAACAAATCTCATTCATGTTCTGTTTAACCCAACTAATAATGAAAATGAACTCGTAGTAATAGAACATATGACCAAAATCAAATGGACAAACCCAAAAAAATAAATTTGACCCAGTTTTGTTTTCTTCTTGATTTTTCCATCCATTTTTGATTGATTTCCCCATCCATTTTTGATTGATTTCCAACCATTTATTCATGGGACTTTTGATATTATAATAAAGACAAGATAAATGTTGACATTTTGATACCAACATCTCTAGAAACTATTGACAAGTACAGCTTTAATTTCATCTTCCTTAAAACTAGGATTTTTCCAAAGTTTCCACTATTACAATATTGGACAACAAGTCAACAATCTTTACCATAAGAGAGCTTGTATCAATTGAAAATACAATGAATACATGATATCAAAATTAATCAATTAAACGTTACTATGTTAGAATTTAGAAACAAAATCATATCTTGGTTTGAGAAACAATGCAACCGACTTTCATAGTTACACTTCCGGTTCCAAAACCCAGATTTGAAGAAATACACATGCAATCGACTGTATCCAGATTTGAAGGATTGAGATTTGAGAGTTTAATAAGACAATCGTGTATTCGAGTATATATAGTTGGGCAGTCGGTAATGCATCGATTGATCATCAAGATCGATCCATCGTCGCATGGTCAGTCGTTAGACTCGTTACCGTTAATCGTCTTCCTCTGGAACTGGAACGTCATCGTCGAAAATCGAAAAGGTCGAATACTCAAAGAACTATAGAAATCGTCAATTTCAAATCGCCAAAGCCAATCGTCTTGTAAACTATGATGCGTCTATTCTATTGTCAACAGTTCAAGTCCTTGAGTTTGTTATAAACAGGCTCTGATGAATTGGACTTCTGTTTATAATTAAAACCCAAGTCTCAAATTGTTAAACCCCAAAATCCAAAACTAATACTATATAAAAATTTGATTCCCTTTTGGTTTTTGATGCCCTGTGCGGTTCCACGGATTGCACGTGCCCAGGGTCGGGATCTGCCTTCGTATTTGACTCTTCCGGATACACGCTTACCTGGTAAGCGGCTGCCCTGGAAAACTGAAGATTATGAGGATTATCTATTTGACTATTTGTGTAGTTTCAAACATTGTTCCGTTTCTAACTTAGCTGGACCTTCTAGTAGCCATATCTTCCCATTTTTTCTACGAGGGTATTGTTCATATATGCATTAATACCAAACAAGATTGTCATATTTGTCAAAATTTGCGAATATTATATAAACAGTTTTTACATGTAGAATCGCACAACAATTTTTAAGAAGACGATATGATGGAGGCTAAGATTCATGGCGACATGGCAGGAAGAGAAGAACAACCTTCTAATGACAATCAAGGCTCATCGGCGGTTGTGGTGAGAAGCAGATTAGAATCTCCGAGGAAGTCCAAATGGCGAGTGTTTATGTTCGGGTATGGCACGGGTAAGTTTCCGACTAAGATGGAGTTGAATGATATTAGAAGCAGGCAACTCCGGCAGCAGAATACAACAACCGTTTCTGACGGCGGTGAGGATGAAAGTCACGGTCGGAGAAGTGGGGATAAGCGGTGGCGGCGGTTGATTGATGTTTTCGGATGTGGTAGAGGATACGACGGAGATACCGGAAGTGAAGACTTACGGGCCACCTTTCGAACACTCGAAAGATTCGACTGACTTGGCTAAATTTCTATATTAACATATGAGATATATTACCAAGAAATTCACTGCTAAAAGGTGATTCGTTATAAAACAATCGTTGGTGGATACAAAGTAGCGACAAGTTTAGTTATTTTCTAGGTGATCCGTTGGTAATTTTTTTTTTTAAACATTGGATTCTATCAAAATTATTGATACCTTTTGAGCGATCAGTCGATAATCACACATGAAAATTTATCTTGAATAATTTTGTAAGTAAAAGCGATTTGTTTTGTGCACATTTTATTTATCAATTTATATTTTCTTTTATTTATTTATATTTTTTATAAGGCCTTCATATAATTCATTATTCATGGATTTGTTTATGGTTTATATATGAATGGTCCCTTCTTTCTTATATACCTCTCATATATATATATATATAGAGAGAGAGAGAGAATATAAGAAGCCTAAAAGATGTATGAGATTTAATATGAACCATTTTTGTATTTAAAATAATTATGTTATTTATTAAATAAAAAAAAGTTATTTTAGTCTCGTTACTTATTGTATTTAGTTAATTTATTTTTCCCATAAATAAAAAATCCATAACTTCCATAAATAAAATATCCACAATTTCTCAAATGAAACATTAATTAATTGTTCACAATATATGTATCAAACTCTTTAAATAATACTTCTAATGTTTTTGTTTTTGTTTTTAGTTCTTAATGTCCACGTGTCACATTGGGTCCACAAGATGACCACAATATGTTAAAATATGTGTATTCAAGTTCTTATACAATATTTTTAGGGATCTTTAGTTTTTTTTTCTTCTAATTGTCGTTGTGTCACATTTTGTTCACAAGGTGATCACAATATGTAAGAGAAATAGGTGATTGCAATGTGAGGAAAAAAAAAAGGTGATCACAATGTTTAATTGAAACAATATATTTGATATTGGTTCAAATCGTGATACCATAAATTTTTGGTTTTGGGTTCAACGAAGATGTTTAACGGATGTTCAAACTTGATTATTAATTTTGTTCACAGTGTGTATCAAAGCTCATACAAAATATATTTAGTGATTTGTAGTTTTTTGGTCTTGTGTTTTTTGTGTTCACATTATGTTTACTTGTGATCACGATGAGTTATTTGGCGATACTTGTTAAATTGTTAGGTTTAGTTTTATTTTTTGGATTATTTTGTTAATAAGAGGATAGGAAAAAAATGAGAGGAGATAGAGAGAGAATTTTTATAAATTATCTATAATAAAATTTTAATTCAAGACTACTAAAATTATTCTTTTTATATTTAATTTATGGTTTATAATAAATTTCATGTATCTTACAAATTGTTTGGTTCTTAATATATATATATATATATATATATACATAACAAATATATTCTTTTTATCTATCTATTTATAAAACATTTGATAAAAACTCTTAAAAAATATTTTTTATGTATAAAGTACTATTTATTGATGTATATTACTTAAAATTCAAGATTACAAGTAAATTGTGCAAAAGTACAACTAATTAAAGCTTCATGTTTGAATTCGTGTAACAAACTGCGAATAAACATAATCAAATAGATTATAAACATTTTATTTTAAAATAAAAAAATGTAAAATATAATTAGGATAATTATTAAGTTCTAACAAAATAATTAATTATTATCCTTACAATTAAACCAAATATAAATTACTTCGTTATTAAACCTAATTTAAATTATAAGTAAAAAATTGAATTAAAAAATTACACAAAAAATGAGAAATATTAAATAGTTAATTTGATACTATTATCGATATATCTTTGTCAAATTTTTATGACAAATGTATATTTTATTGAAAAATAAAACATTATTGTTTTAAAAAAAATCATAAGACCATATTATAACATCAACTGAGATAATGAATAAAATAAAATATTAAAAGGAAGATGTATCTCATTTGACTGTGCGAGTGTCCTTATACTATTATTAAATGAATTTGTTATAAAAAAACTTATAAATTATTGCTCCATTATAAAAAAGAAGAATCGGTCAAATACAATATCCCCGTATCTGCAAATATAAATTTTAAAACTAAAAAGACAAAAAGTTAATATATTTTTTATGTAGAGAATGACAATTATAGTTTTAAAAAATTAAATGGAAATAAAATGGGTATCGAATGAATGTGAAATTAGAAAGAAAAAAAAAAGTGCCATACAAATACATGCCTAACTCTTGAAAGCAAGTTTTTCTTTGTATTTAGAATATAGACTATATTTAAACAATTTCATCTAAAATTCTGTGATAATTTGTATCTCTTTAGACGTTTTTAGATCTGCCTAACCATTTATTTTCGGTAAGTGTTAGAACCTTCATTTTATTCTTAATAACTCTTTTATAGAATATGTTCTTAAGTTTCACATGTATTCTCACACCAAAGGTTTGTTTATTTGAACACTTATCTGACATGTAAGTTAATACTATAATTTACTTTATCTGGTAAGATTGTAGTTCATCAAAACGTTATTGTATGCAATAGTTTTTTTCTTGTAAGCACTTACCAAGTAAGAGTCATTACCTTCACTTACCAATTAAGAGTCATTACATTCACTTACCGGAGAAAACTTTTTATCCTTATCATTGGTCTTACAAGATAAGATTATCGGCTTTTGCCATGCATATTCAATCATCTGGTAAGATAAATTACGTGATAAGCACTTGTCTATTAAACGTTTAATAATTAAACCACCATAGACTCATTTTTCTATGTGTATTATATATATATATATATATATATAATCCCGGAAAGAAAAAAGAAAAAAGAAGGAATAAAAATCCAAGAAGAAATAAAATCTCCTTGTGCCGACGGAGGTTCAAATACGGTGACTTCAGGCCATCTGCAAATAGGTGCTCGTTCTGGGATTAGTCGACTCGCATAGTGGGTTGGATATCCAAGTTAATAAAAAAAATTAATAAAAAAAAGTTAGCTAGGTAGGTTTATGGTCAATTGCAGTCAAGTCCATTTCGGCTCTCCAGTGGCGGCCATGGCCTTCTAGTAGCTCTCAAGACCAGGCAAAGATGGTCACTTTTGCCAACCCAACCAGCATCATCAACGACTCATTGACATTAATTTCATCCTTAATTCCCTTCTAGTAACACACTTTAAGATTCTACTTTAATTGACCTACCTACTAACACCTATATATATATGCCTAATCTTTTAGAACATTCACAGACATAACTAACGACTTCAAGAAAATTGATGAACACCCACATCCATAGCACCATGCAAGATTATATCGATGACTCAGAGGACACCCTTTCTCTATGTGACCTTCTCATTGAAGATCATACTATCGGCTTAGAAGAAGAAGATCAACATTCTAAAGCAAATTCATCATCATCATCATCATCATCGTCTTCTTCATCTGAACAAGATTTCTTAGGGTTCTTCACTGAAGAATGGGTTCGCAATAGTAATTCATCTGAGAACATCATTTTCTGTGGGAAGGTAGTTTCTTCCACTCGACTGAATCAAGAAACTAAGGGCCAAATTATAAACCCTCCATTTCGGTCAAATTCTGATTCTTTTAGGTATATGCGGTTCAAAACGGCATCCAAGCTGAGTAGTTCGAGATCAAAGTCACTGCCAAACAGATCGGCATCATCTCCAATATGCAAGTCAAGATGGCTGGTGTTTATGTTTGGGTCTGGATCAAGCAAGTTTCCGACTAAGATTGATGTAGGTGACATCAAGAGCAGGCAACTCCGGCGGCAGAATACGATGGGACCCCCACCGGTTAACAGCAGCAAGGAGGAGAGTGGTGGCCGGAGTAGTGGGAACAAAAGGTGGTGGCGGTTGGTTGATGTTTTGGGATGTAGTGGAGGAATTAAGGCCTGATTTAATTAATTAGTGTTCACTGGATGACTTCATATATAGTAAAATGTAGAAGTAATGAAGTAGTTTAATTATCTCTTGTGTTTAGCAAAATTAGACATGCAGATTTGAGGTTATATATATATATATATATATATATATATATATATATATATATATATATGCCATTTTTGGCGATTTTTGGAATTCTGATTTTAAATGGATCGATATTTGTATTTTATTTATGCAAGTGCAAATGAAATTTACAATTTTTTTTATTAACTTGGATATCTAACTCGTTATGCGAGCTGACTAATCTCAGAACGTTCACCTGCTTTGCAGATAGTCCGGAGTCACCGCATTTGAACTTCCGTAGCCACAAGAGAATTTTATTCCTCCTTGGATTTGAATCCTAGGACCTGTTGGTACTTTTGACCTTTGGAGTCAAGCTCAAATCAATCAATCACCACCCTTGTAGTTTGAACATGGTAAAGCTACCGTAATCTTAATTTAGCATGCATTTTATAAATGTTGGAACACTTTATAAAAAAAATAAAGAGTAAATTACGGTTTGTTGAAAATTTCTATTGTCGTTCTTAAGGTTTTGAAATTACGATTTTCATTCTTATGGTTTATAATATATTACTTTTTTGTCAATATGATTTAAAATTTATTATTTTTCCGTTCCTATGGTTTATAGTTTATTTCTACCATATTTAAAAGTAGTGTTTTGATTTTAGAAACAAAAATAAAAATGAATAGCCAACCATAAAAAACAAAAATCATCAGGGAAAATTGCATCAAAATGGAACCAACTTTCACCTTATTCTTATTTTGGGGAACCAACTTTTAAAATCTTCATTTAAGGGTCTCTATCAAACTTTTTGTTTATTTAAGAGTATGGTTGACCTGTTAATGCTGACATAATCCAGATCTTTTGTCAACTAAAATATTTCACGTCATATTAATTTTTTATTTTAAATCCATGTCATATTTTAAAATTGCAAAATAATTATATAAAATTAACTAAAATTCGTTTTTTTTCCAAAAATTAATGCAATAAAATCTATTTTTCTTTCTAAATCTTGTTTTTTAAATAAAAAAAATTCAAATATTAAATTGAAGATGATTGCAAATCTCGTTTTTAATAGAAAAATTAATTGATGCAATAAAAAATAAATATCAAATGCGGAAAGGGCAGCGGCTGTCAGATAGAGTAGAAAGCTACAGCGGCAGGAGGCTATGAGACGATGGCGATTGAAGGAAGAGGGAGGGGCAACGGCTGTCGGAGAGGGCAGAAAGCTACAACGGCAGGAGGCTATGGGACGAGGGCGATTGAAGGAAGAGGGAGAGGCAGGATTGCGACCGAGGTAGGAGACGTGAAGCGGACTTCATTTTGATTTGTTTTGATTATAATGATGATTTCTCAAAATAATTTCCCCATAATATTTGTTTAAATAACTTTCTTTCAAGTCATATTAAATTACCTGTTATCTATTCAACAGGTTAACCAGACCCTTAAATAAACAAAAAGTTTGATAGAGACTCTTAAATAAAGATTTTAAAAGTTGTTCCCTAAAATAAGAATAAGGTGAAAGTTAGTTCTATAATTTCAAAACCAGAAAAACAAAATCCATAATTTTTAACAAATTAGAAAGACGAAAAACTTAGTTTACTCAAAAATAAAAGAAATCAAATTTTGATTCCTTTTTCAGTTACAAAAGAATGATGGTATTCTTTGAGAAATTAAGAGATCGATGTGGTGATAAATTCAAAACCAAATAACATGTCCAAATCAAATAAGGGTTTGGGTTATAATTAGATAGTATCGTTAATCAAATAATATTATTTTATTTATTTTAAGACGTGTTAAGATTTTATTACTTCGGTTAAATTGAATTAAATACTATGTATTATTAATTTATTACTTCGCTTAAATTGAATTTAATATTAATTTACTAAAAGGGTACTCACACAATATAAGGAGATATATCTCGATTTCAATGTTTTATTTTATTTTTTTGGTCTATGTGTCGATGTTATAATACGAATTTATGTGGTTTTAAGTAAAATAATATTTGTAAATAAAATATAAATTTGAAGATATTATATAAAATTTAAAAAAATATAAATGTTCTCATTTTCTTTGTGTAATTTCTTTAATTAATTTTTTTTTATAATTTAATTTAGCTTTAACGATGAAATAATTTATATTTGGTTTAATAATATAATTTTTATAAAGATAATAACTAAGTATTATGTTAGAACTCAATAATAATCCTAGTTATATTTTGAATTTTATATTTAAAATAAGAATTTTATCATGTATTTGATTATAATTATCTACGGTTAGTTACACGAATTCAAACATGAAGCTTAATAAGTTGTACTTACGCACAATTTACTTGTAATCTTGAATTTTAAGTAATATGTATTAATAAGCAGTACTTCATATAAAAAAATTACTTTTAATAGTTGTTATCAAATGTTTTATAATATAGTATAGATATACAAATAAACTAAATAACATGTTATATTATTAACTAATAACATATGATATATACTACTAACTTTTTTGTTTGTTATTTTTGCTTGATCTTCTTTATACACGATTTGGCATAAAGAGATGATATCTTTTACTCAGTAATATTTTGAGTAGAATTCATCAAATAGCAATTTCTTTTTATAAATTTTCTTGTAATAATATTTTACTTTTAGTTTTTTTTTTGTTATAATAATATACTTTTAAATTATTTTTATTAGGTCCTTGTATTTTGAAAATTTTACTTATTATAATATTGGATAATTTTTTATTTAAATTTATCCATTACACCAGATTTCTATGTCACCTCATTGTCCACATAAGTTGTTCAAATGTATTATAGTTGACATGATATTTCTTATTATAACATTGTTCATTCAAAGTTATTTTATTATAGCACATGTACAATATTACACTTTTAATTTTAATATATTATTATATAGACAATTTTCATATTATTTAATAGATATACTAAAATAATTAAAAAAATTATAAATTATTTATTAGTATACCAATATTAATAAAACTAGCAAAACGTAATTTATTTTGCTAACATTTTTAAAAAATATGTATTTTTGAAAAGAAAAAAAAGAATTGTTACATTTTTTACCAAAAAAATATTTGATCTTTTAAATAATATATCATGTTCTTTTAAGAAAATGCACTTGACACATAAATATATTAAATCAATTAGATTTTTTTTAAACTATTCATTAATATAACAATATTAAAAAAATTGTAGATCACAATTTATCTCTTTTAACATATTAAGAAACTTTAAAAGATATGTGCTTTTGAAAGAAAATAAAATAAGAAGTGTTACTTTTCTTACAAACAAAATGTTTATCTCGAAAATAATATATCATATTCATTTAAGAAATATTTTACTGTATAATATTTAATTTGCATGTAATTTAATAAGAAAAAGTCAAAAAAAAAATTAAGTGTTTTCAAAATTGTAGCAATAAAAAATGAAAATCATTATAAATAATTAGAAATAAGTTTTTTTTTATTTTAGTTATATCACCAAAATAATGTGTCACTCACATTATCTCATTGAAGCCAAGAAGCAAAAAAAGTAAGGAAATAACTAGTTTAAAAGGTAACAGGTTATACATTGATATAATGAGTAGATTTTTCGAAGTACGATACTCTAATAAAAAATATTTGGAAGTACATTGATATAATAAGGAAAAATTAAAGTATAATGTTATAATAAAAAAATTTATAAGATCAGATTGTCATTCATACATTTAACCATAATGTTTTTGATAATATTGTTTTGAGTATGATATCTATTACTGTAACACCCCCAAAGTCCAAAGCAACGGACTGGTCCGATTAACTTCAAATCCAACTTAAAACCATAATGAAAGTTATTGGTAGCCTATTGCTTAAGAAACTAACAATTATCACTTTCTATCCATTTGAGACGAATTGTTACAAACTCCCCCACTTAAACTCATGATGTCCTCGTCAGGCATGCCCAAAATCTTCCTCCTTGTCCCCTCTTGAGGACTTGTCATGCTCGATGAGGTTTACCCCACCATTCCAATGGTACAATGATCAACTCTAATACCATTTTAACATCCCCAAAGCCTAAAGCAAACGGACTGGCCGAATAATTTCGAATCTAACTTAAAACCATGGTGGAAGTTATTGCTAGTCTACTGCTTAAGACTGATAAGGGACTAACAATACTCACTTTCTATCCATGTGGGACGAGTTGTTATAATTACTACAGTAAATTATTTTTATAAGACAATAACAATTTTTAGGGGTCCAATAGACAACTTTATAGGACTGACGTTTATATAAAAAAATGTTGCATTTAAAAATATTGTAATGAATTTTTAGGACGTTTTTAAACGTTTTAAACAAGTTTTTTTTATATATTTATAATTATACAAAACGTCGTATTAGTTATTTTATAAAACACTTCTGAAAAATGTCTTATGTACACTTATTTTTATAAGACATTTTTCTAAATAGTATCTTTTAAAATAATTAAAACGAAGCATATTTACAAAAAGTTATAAAAACTTGTTACGACATCAAAAAAACGTTTTTCGAATTTATTGTAACACTTTATATAGAATTTTTATTATTTGGTTTTATAAAATAAGTGTTATAAAATAGTTGATTAAAGGAAAAATTGCATTAAAATGAAACCAAGTTAGTTAATTTCTATTCCAAGAAAACCAATTTTCAAAATCATTATTTAGAGATGTAAAACAAAGTTTTTATTTAGGGGAAGGCTAATGGCACCCCTAAGATATGCTAAGGCACCCCTAAGACTATTATAATTATTACTTTTTTTTGTCTTTTTATTGTTTTTACTTTTTTATTGTTTTCTTATTTAAATTATTAATTAGTTTTTTTAGTTCTTCCTCTCTTATTTATTTATATTATATTATAATATAAATTATTAATAAATATATATTT